TGGCAAAATAGGAAAACAGGGAGATTAAACATCTTAGAAATAAAGAAATAACTGTGATTAACTCATTTGAGGTTGGCAAAAGAGCAAGGGGAAAATTTAATTAAAAATCCTCTTGAGAAAGTTGAAAAAGTCTGCCAAAGCATGGCTAAATGAGATTCTTCGCCTCGGCTTCAAACAAGGGAAGTAATAAAACGCTCCGGGAGCACCTTTTGCACCCACATAGCACAACAATGTATTCATCACACTTGTGTCAGATGTAACATCGTGCGGCGCACATTTATTATGCTGAGCAGCCGACGTGAGGGAGCTCCCGCCAACGGACGTGATGCAGATTCAACATATATGGATATGATATGGATTAATTCAGCATTCTGGGATGAAAAATTTGAAAAAAAGACGCTGAACGAGTCTGACAGTGCTGACGCGGCACACACAAAAAAAACACAGGCCATCACTCCAGGTGTGCTACTTCCCAGAGATTTATGTTATTTTTGCTTCAGTAAATCTTAAAAAAATGTTAAAGTGCGTGTGTAAAGCTGACGGTTGGGATCTGGAATGATCGGCAACGACAGAAAAAAGAAACGGACATATTGGGACTTTGCGGAGGAAGCTGACATTTTTGTAACCATCATTTCCATTGAACGGACACGGCAGCAGATAGCCTCATTTCAAAGATTCACCCATGTATTTGAGGCACACGCTAATTGATTCAAATGTGTGAATGTAATAGCTCCATTAGTATGTGTTAAGTTCTATAAGTGCAGGTGGCTCGCTGTTCATTCGTCATCTCCGGGAAAAGTGTGACAAAATCATTAGCGTGCTTCGCTACTCCTTGCAGAAAAAAGGTGTTACATCCTTATCTAATTTCTTTTTTTCCCAATGCTTAATAAGGCTGGAGCAGTAAATCTGCTCAAGGTCTACAGGTGCTGCATGAATGCACAGCGAGAGGGAGCACTGGCTGTTAGTTCAGGCCCAGAACCGCAGTGACAAAGCATGGCCGCTTATTAAACTCTGCTCTAAAAGCTACCCTCCAACTCAAATCACACTAAGTTAACTCTCATTGCTGAATTAACGTGGTTAACTTCAGATAAATCAGCACATTGCATAGGTTTTGGCCATGTAACTTCGGTGTTCATTAAATGTGAGTACAACATGTATCAAAATAAGTTGTAAACGTCCCGGGGTTTGAACACTTAGTAGGCAGATTTAGTTTCTCATTTTCAATATTCCAATCAGGTTTTTTTAGTTTCAAGTCTTTTGCTGATGAAGATTAATGTGCACAGAGTGGTGCTCTATCAACCCCAGTGACACAAAGGGCAAAGATATAGACTAATTAAATACACCAGTGCAATTGATATTTCCCACGGATCAATGCGAGCGTGGGATCTGTTAATTAAATCTTGTGATAATGTTTACTCATCATAAACATTTCCCATGTTTGAGTGCGGCGAGATGGGGAGATAATCTTTGCAGTCTGACAGATTAATTTTAGGGCTCGACTGCAAACGCTTCCGACGAGTGCGACTTCTTTTTCTTTAATGTTTATATTAAAAGTGCTCAAAGGGAAATCTCCCCGTCTTCTTTACGGCGCTGACAGACTGTGACACAACAGCGCAAAACACCAGAAAACCAGATTCACATGAGGTGTGGCTTCTGTTATCTGAATGGATTCAAAGACACCAGTCACCATAGCAACTAAGAAATCTGATTCCCTTCACTAATGAAAATAAACCAATCTGGGGTCCTTCATGCAGCAGGAGAGGATTTTTGAATTCTCCCTCCTCTAGTGTTTTCTTGTGGAGTACACAATGGCATAGGTTGTCACATAGTGGATTAAGAAGGCGTGCCCGAACCGGCGAGCCACACTCCATTCACATATTGATCCACGTATGAGGCGGGGGGGGGGGGAAAAAAACCTGCCCGCTGCACTTAGCGGCGCAACCGCAGGCGGCCGCCTCCCGCTTGCTCTCTGCTCCCTGCAGCTGTGCTGATTGCTTGTCTCAATCATCCTTTCACTTCTCCCCCAATCACCCCTGCCTCCCCCTTAACACACACACGCACACAGAACCCTACACACCCTCCCACATCTCCCCATCTCAGTCTTCATTCATTCTTCGGTTTTTGTCTCAAATGCTCCGGCGACAATCTCTCACGGTGTGACAGGCTCTTGTTTTTTTCCTTGTGAGAGCCATCAAAGCCGGCCGCCTTAACCCCCGAAAGGCTGAAAGATTTGGAAACAATTAATTTGCCGGTGAAGACGCCCATTAATTAGGCGACGCCTCCGGCTATTTCGCCGAGACCCCTTCACTGACGGTGGGGGCCGCTCGGATAGGATAGAAAGGATGCGGCGGCACACCGGGTTCCTAATGGACCCAGCGGCTTCTGCCAAAGAAGCTCCGCGGGATCATTCCCACTTTTCTATTTCGAGGCCTCGTAACTGCAAAGCAGGCTCTCGCAAAGTGACAAAAGTTGTTTACCGGAAAAGAGTCTTATCCAGCTTACCTGCCATTTCATTTTGTTTAAAGCTTGGCTTTGCAGTATAATATCGTGTAGCGCTTGGGTTTTCAGAGGAGCTTGAACATCCCGCTGAAGTGCGCTGAGCTAAAAACAACTTCCATGCCCAAATGGCAAAATGTCACAGAAACTGGTTCAGACTATTGAGAGAAAAAAGGTGCTGCGAAGGGGCGAGGCGCTAATAAGAACTTAATATACAAAGCATAAATGTCACGAAGACAGACGAGCGTGTGACAGAGGCCCAGACCAGCCGCGCTGATGCTCTGCTTCTAATTGGAGGTAAATGCATAAACACTGGTGCGGAGTCGGGTCGAGGGGGGGGGGGGAACGAGCCCCGCTTTATCTAATCACTCACTAAATCAGCCGTGAGAATATTAGCCCCGTTGTCCACCACTGAGGGGACATTTTCGGAGCAAGGCACCCTTTTCAAAAACTAAACGGCGGCATGCTCGGATGAGTTTAAATGCTGATTGGACTGCGGGTCTCCCCTGAGCGCGGGCCAGAGCGGCCTATGATTGCAGTGACAGGAGAGGCTCGCTGACAGTACGCCATCCGTGAAATTAAATCAACAACTCCCCCTATTGTAATTACATTTGCCGGAATGGGAAAGCAAAGTGTGGGTGTAAAACAATTAACACGTAATTGTTATCCTGACCAGGTTGATGGTGATCTAGATCCCCCCCGGGACTCAATGAAATCCATCTCCTCTCCTCGTCTCTTACATTTATCTTGAAATAAATGGCGAGGTGAGGTACCGGTGTGTCACATAGCCACACCGCTGTGTGGGTCTGCCTAATCATCAGCAAAGCACTTGATCAGCTAGTCAAGTGAGACACTGCTTTTACTTGTTTATAATTAAATGAAAAATCCAGTTCTATTCAAGTGTCTTAACCCTTATGCACAACTCAAATTTGCTTTTATCACGCAAATCATATGAGACATATAGCTGATCGTGCAGACGCCAACAATTATGCACTCAAAAAAAATGTAAACATGGTGTTAATTAAAACCGTTGAGCGGGAGAAAAACTAAAGGTGAGACTCATGTTTTAGTCCAGAACAATGCAAAGAGCAGGGTGCATTTAAAAGTGAAATATCTCGAATTATGTTTACAATTTTTAAACCCACGCGGGTTTTCTTTTTTTTCGGGTGTTCTGTTCCATTGCAATTCAGTTTGAAATTCAATCGTATGAGTAATTTTTTTTTTTTTTTGCTGATAATGACTGAACTGAATTGAAAACATTCATTGCAATGCTCTGACATGTGGAGCAGTCAACTCTCATGTGCACAGTAACCACCAAACCCAAGCCGTAGCAGTGAGTTACACAGTTAACTGTGAATAAATGGTAACACGCAGAGACACTCTGCAACGTGGCTCTTAATCAGACCTAAAATGCCGTTTTCTGAAAATGAAAAAAACAACAACTCAGTTTTAATTCAAGCTGTAAATCGTTTAGAGTAGAAAATGTGGTGATAGTTTTCATTATTACTTCATAAACAAAATGCCCAGAATATGAAACATGGTGTTTAGATCTTTGTTGCTTTGACTTCTGTATATCACATTTCCTCTCTGAACTTTTTTCCTCTGCTATGTAATATTTTCTCCCTGCACCTGAAAGGTTTTGACTGCTTGTCATTTCCTTCCCCACGCTCCAACCGGAGATATAGGAAGTACCGAAAGTCTACAAATCGAAACAAAACAATTAAACAATATTGTAGCATCACTGAAACAGAAGCGATAAACAAATAAATAACATTAACAGGAAAAATAGTTGTAAAAAAGCAAATTAGACTGTATATATACACTGTGTGTGCATTGGTGCACACAATAACGCATTAGCTAGTTATTCCCTGGTCTGTCTGAGGGAGGGGTTGTAAAGCGTGATAGCCACAGGGTGAAATTATTTCCAGTGGTGGAACGAGTCTGTTGCTGACCGAGCTCCTGCGACTGACCGGCATTCCTGGAGCTGGTGGGAATCAAACCTTTTTTTTTTTAATAATCAACCAGACTTTGCTGGATAGCGTCTTTGGCTGAAACCTAAAAATCAAAGCCTCAGATGGGTCAAAGGCATCCAACCTGTGCAAGTCAAAGGCCGATAAAGCTTCCAAATCATGGCAAGACAAGAAATTGAATGTAGGGGGATCGGGTATAGAGCAAAGGCCATTTCGTTAACACTATTGAGTACTTTTCAAAGGTGTAATGCAATAGAAAAGAGAAAATTCGTTAAACAATTATTTGCTCTCGTCTCACAATGGGATACATTTTAAATGAAAATAACATACTTTTGATCCTCTTCCTCTCAACATCTCAGCTCATGCTTATTACAAATGGCCCACACAAACAAACAAACAGCCCAACTCGTGTGTTCCCCATCGGAGTGACAGCTATGTGGCGATTTGCATGATCTTGCTTGGAATATCACCCCTGTCCACACGGACAGCCGTAGGGGAGGAGAGCAGCGTCTCAGAATAACTACCCCGCCGTCCTCATCGGCGCGCCTGCTGTGCTGCTGATAAAGGCGCCAGCAACAGGGAGGGGCTGAGGATTCTGCGTCTGAGCGTAGCCTCCTCTGCCTCAGACAGACGTCTTTGATGTGACGTATGCGGAGGCAGGGCTAGCGGAGGGGCTAGCTCTTTGCTTTGGAGGGAGTTAGGCCGGCTGCAGGGGAAGTCGAGGAATTTATCACCGTGTCTATTTTCTGCTTTTGTATCGCGCAAAGAAAAATAGGTAAGACCAAACTTTCGGGGAAAGCATCTGAACAGGATGATGGATTCCTTTTTACCCTGCGCATTCCCCGGTTATATCCCACCACCTTGCTAACTGTAAAGACATCATTTGCTGGGGTTGTGAACCCTGAGTTTTAGGGCTTCAAGTCAGCATATTGGGTGACGGCGGGTCGTTTTGAGAGTGGAGGTGAAAAGGAAAGCGGATCTGAGGAAGAACTGTGGCTACTGAGGACACACAAGCCCACGGGGAAGCGGCCTTACTTAAATTTACACGCATGGCAATATTATTGTATATGAGATTGGAATAAAAAAAATGTTTTGTGTGCCTGAATATGATCTGAAGCTCGTGTCTCAGACCATAAACTAAATAGGGAAAATTCTACCAGGGTCATCTTTGAATAGACTTTTTTCAAATGGAACTCTTTATAGCTAGCAAACCGATATGCTATATCTTTTAAGGCCTAGGGCTAAAGATGTCTTTTATATACAGTCTATGAACCAAACCTACTGATATCAGAAACTGGGTTGCTGTTAAACCATAAAAATCTACATGGTCCAAGTAGCTATTCAAAAAAAATTTTTTTTTATATTTGCAAGGACTTTTTAGAGTAATTCAAGTGAAGCCATTTTGAGAAACTCACTGTAGGCTCAACTAAATTGTATCTCCACAAAAGCATGGGATGTTGATGGAAACCCTACATGCACATCAAGCACAGTAAGTATGACAAGGAGAACTGCTCACGGCCAATCTGGAAGGAGGGACGGAGGGGAAGAGGGGGCAAAGGTGGGGAGCGGGTTGAAGATGCATGCCATCACGGCCAAAAGAGCACAACCATGTAGTCTGGTCTGCTTTTGCTCCAACATGGCTACATGCACTGATGAATCCCCCACAAACCAAACGGAGTGAGACTTTGTGTTCTACACGATAGGACTGGACTCAGCAAGGCAAAAGGACAGAGGTTAGGGGAGGTGAAAAATTAAAGACCTGCTCTTCTCCTTGTTGTTGCTATCAGGTTGCCAGTCCTGATTCTAGACCATAGTCAACTTGATGTCCAGAGACAGAAAGAAAAAAAATCTAACTTTTTCATCAAACTTGCAAGATCCAGTTTTCTCAGGTATTCTTTGTCCTCAAATGACATCTAGACTACTCTTGATATCCCGAATGGTGGTACAGCTGAATGTATCTCTTAGAACAAATGGCATCTTGGATGACAGTTTATCTCGAAATATAATACTCATGCATTTTAGCTTTCTTCAGCACGTAGCATTCAAAGGACCCAGGTTGGGATTTTCCTTTTTTCTATGATTAGAAAAACCGGCACACTTAAGGGGTGGGGTTTGAAGTTACCACTCATGATGTGTCTGAGCCTCTGACAGAAAAGATTGTTATTGCATTTCATTGCATTACATCATCTTCTTTAAAAAAAGAAATAGCATAGTAATTCTGGTGGAGTGTGCATGGCTGTGTGTGTGCTGTGTGCACTCACGCAGCGCAATCTTGGCCAAGTGCAGACGGTTGACCCAGGAAATCTTACTGAGGGGGTTGGGAGTGTTGAAAACGACCATAAAACTGACAGGACGCCCAGACCTAGATGACATACAAACACAAAAACACAGAATAAAGACGAGACATATGCTGGGAGGGAATTTAAAACATTGTGTTGAATTGTCACACAAATCACTTCATTTGAATTTCCTAGTTATTTCATTTGATTCAGTGAGTGGTTTATCAAGTATCGAGACTATTCAAGCCATGTAATGAGACGGTTTTAGATCAGTTCAGTTAAATTAATCCATTTTCTTAATCTGGTTGAGGGTGCCAGCAGTACGTAAACAGATCAGACCTGTCGCTACTGACCCAATGGACTGAAACTAACTTTTCATTCACACACCCCTGCAGGAAAAACAGTACAAACAATACACATTATATTTCAATTGATAACAACCCAACTGTATGAAAGTCGGCTTCTTTATTTTGTCTGAGTTCAAGCTATCAAGAATATGAATGAATAAAGATTGAATTTTAACCACTGATTTTATCTTGGGTCCCAGCTCAAGCCTCTTTTTTGTTGTTTTTTTGCTGAAAAAGCAAGACTGAAGCTTATTTTTGCATGTTTTTGCAGTGCGGATTCCAAAGTGCTTTAATTCAAACAGCATGAAATGGGACTCCTTCCCTTCTGGCATTAAATGCATAAAATTTATAGTCAGAGATAGCCATAGTACTCAGAGAGAAGCCATGCATGCATTAATCAGATTTAGATACCTTTAATTTGTTCAATTTAACGGAATCCAATTCAGTCAATGTCAGTTCAGTTTTTTTTGTAACTAAAGACATTTTAGATCAGTTCAAATCTAATTCTACTATATCAAATGGAATAAATTAAAACTAATTTAATTTGAGCTTTATTTATGATCTCAACAGAAGCACCTGGAATTTCTAGGTACTTCACATACAGATACACACTGAAGGTGAATTCATTTTAATATAAATACTATACCACAATAATCAATAATATACCGATGCATAATATCAGTTTTCATTCCATGCTTTCACCACATCGCAGAGATCCCAAATGATGACAGTGAATCTCTATGCATGGTATGCAAAAAATGTTTGAGTCCCAGTTGAAGTTAATGCAAAGTTGTGTTAAAAAAAAAAGAGAGGGAAATTGGATTTTGATGTATTATCTACTGCTGTTATATAAACGCAGAATGCAGAACAACATAGTCAGAGAGACACTAACAAATGCACCAACAGGAAAATGAAATGTTTCATTTCATGGGAATTTAAGTTTAATACGGCAGGGTTTTATGTCAGAGCAGCTGCTCGCCTAGTTGCGGTTTTACAGCGGTTCCAACCGGTACCCTGGTGCTTTATGATTTCAGCCTGGACATTCATATTCAGAGCAGGCTCTGGTGATCACACGCCCGGGTCAAAGCAAATCGCTTAAAGGTGGGCACAAGCACTCCGAAAAAGAAAAAGAGAAAAAAAAAGCCACTAACGGGTGGGCTCCGCTGGCACAGCCGGAGCAGGCGTTGATCAGTTAGAGCCTTTAGGAGACAAATCAAGCTCGGGCACAGTTGGAGACCAGATCTTAGACGTGTGAAAGTAAAACTGAAAGCCAGAAGTGAAGAATGGCAGAATGAGGCGCGACAACAACGGGCGTCTTTGAATGAAAAGTGAAAGACAAAAAAAACATATTCCGACCAACACATTTATATAAACACCAACACGAAAGTTGATTCTAACTTGGTAGCTGTGCTATTTCACCGAAGTTGTATTTTAAAACAAAGAAGGGACTTTAAAGTCAGAAAGTTTTTCACCATTGATTAAAGACACGAGGGCATCTCTACCAAACATACCAATGGAATAGGATGGGTGATGAGGCCGTGGTAAGGAAAGTGAACGGACAGGCATTTTTTAGCCTAGGAACTGGGTCACCATTTGCATCCATTGTAAAAGAAACGCATTCAGTCCAGCTCTACTTGCCAACCGTTCCAGGCTGCACCTTTTCAAGCCTGCGGGGGCCGACTGCTTAATATGCAATGCACCACTTTTTCATAGAACAAATAAACAGTGCCCTTTAAAACCAATTATGTCCATCAGCTACTCAAGGTGGTCAATGTTTTTAATGAACAAAAAGAAAATAAGTTACCAAAAGTGATGGATTTTGATGGAAAAATGTTCTACCGAACCCATTATACTGTAGAGCATCCACTAAAGAACATTTTTGCTTTGTTGTTTTCGTTTCATTTTGTTGTTGCTGGTAAAAAAAACAACAAAAAAAAACAAGTGCAATTTGTTTCTGACATTAAATGGGCAAACAATTTTGACTCAGAAAAAATTTCTTTCAATTGAACAGAATTTGAATATCATCCGAAGATTCTTCAGGCACTTGTGAGAACGGGAAACTAAATATGTTGCTGGTAGACAGCCGTCTACTGATCAATATTTCAACAAACCTTGTTACAAGCCACGGAGTCTGGTCTTTCTCCTTCATTCCTTTGCTTCAAATTGAAAGAGTATAATCTGCCCATGTGTGTGAGGAGAAGCCAATCTGTATCCTCATTATTGTTTTCGTAATCCAATTTATATATTTGCAAAAATGTCTCTCTTTTGTGTTTTATCAGATCATCATGAAACCCGGAAATCTCCAGATCTATGCTCACATTTGCAAATGCATTTGGGTTTGTAAATGTCTGAAAACTGGGGAGAGAATCTCCAGATTTGCGAAAATGTGTTCATGGACAGAAGGATAGCATAGGACAACACTCTGCTCCATGAATAGTCCCATTTGTTTATTTTTTTCCTCGATGAAATGAAGCTGCAGGATGTGTCGATCAATACATGAAATGAAAATGCTACAGATGTGAAATGGAGAGGGACAAAAAACAGTCGAAAAACATTTTACAGCCTGTAAAACATTTTTTTTTTTCAAAAAGGACGGTGCCAACCGGAACCAGCAGGTCGTCCTGGTCGTTATAGATCGATACGATTCTGACCGAGCGGTGAGGAGCTGAATAGCAAATGAGCGTTCTGTGATTAAGAGCGGGCAGTGTCGTCATCCTCCTGTCTGGGGCATTGTTTGGTTGGATCGAAAGCCCCTCAACATGTCAGAGTGTAATCAGGCAATCAAGACTCTGAGGCCCACATTGAATCCACTTTGAGTATCAGTGTCACTGTGACTGCAGAGGTTAGAAAACAAATATGGAAGAGAAATGTATGACAAGAATCCCTCAATGAAAGCATTGTGTCAATTAGTGAACACAAAAATAAAGAAATAGGCAGTTACAGGTTAACTTAATAAGAGAAACAGAGCTGTTGACCAGTTAGCGGTCCAGTTCAGTCCAATGAAATGCTAATGACTTTGTGGTCAGAGGAAAAGGTACTGAGGGGTCATTTTTTTACACCAGTTCACGTGAACTTGACTGTGTTTTCCGAGAATTTGTTAGCAAAGACTTAAACTATCTCCTGTGGAAGGCGGTAACTATGGAAACTCATTTATGATTTGGACCAACGCGGGGTCAAGCAGGTGACCTCAAACGCACATAAGGGAGAAATGTTTACCATCATTAGAAGGCAATCGAGTGGAGGACAGTGGGCTGCCTCTCTCGTTCCTGCCGCTGCCCGCTGCAAATTCATTTTCATTCCACGCGGGACAGGATCAAAAGAGAAAGAAAAAACACACACACACACACACACACACCCGTACACATATGGTGAGACGGATTGATCGTGGACGAGAACAGAAGTGAGATCTCAAACTTTCTTGACGTGCAGAGAGATGGGGAACTTTCTCAAAGAGGCGTAATTCGTACTATTCACTGCTTAAATATAACAGAGGCAATTTGCCGAAGACAGACGGAGAGACAGCGTGTGACGAGAATACTACTCCTCACTCGGCTGGATTCTTTAGGTAACACTTCACTCTCGCGCGACATCAAACGCGCCTAAACTGAGAGCGCTCGGCCCCTTGTCCACCCCCCCCCCCCCCCATCCCGCCCGCTGATTGACAGCCGCAGTGCAGGTGTGAGGCGCAGCCGGAATGGAAAACTAGCCCCGTGCGCGCTGGCAGAGGGG